ACAAGGCAGTCAGACTGTTGGCGAGCGTCACATCAGCATGGTCAGGATGGCTCCCAACGGTGAGCACGTGGCGGTTGGTAACTGGGGTGGTCAAATCAAGCTGGTGGAAGTGCCCAACTTGACTGAGAAGATGAGCCTACGAGGACACACCAACAAAATCAGCGGTCTTTCCTGGTTCCCTGGTGCCACTCTACCAGAAAGCGGCGTATCTCCTGATTCAGTCAACCTGGCCTCAGGTGGCGCTGAAGGTCTTGTTCACCTATGGTCGTTAAATAAAGACACCCCCTTGTCAACGCTGCAGGGCCATTCCCAACGCGTCTGTCGAGTCGAGTTTCACCCTTCTGGAAAATATTTAGCCTCCGCATCTGACGACACATCTTGGAGGCTTTGGGATGTCGAGACTACGACGGAAATCCTCCTCCAGGAAGGTCATTCACGAGGCGTGTACGCCATCAGCTTCAATACTGAGGGTTCACTTCTTGCCAGTGCAGGCCTGGACAGTATCGGCAGAATATGGGATTTGAGGTCTGGGCGGACCGTCATGATTCTCGATGGACATATGGACGGTCACATTAAGCCGATCCATGCGCTCGACTGGAGTCCAGACGGACATCGAGTGCTGAGCGGTTCCGCGGATGGTTGGGTCAAGTGCTGGGATGTACGCAAAGTCCAGAGAAGCGGCGGCATCGGTGCCCATTCAAGCGCAGTCTCGGATATGCGATGGTTCAAAGGTCTCGATGACCCTCTTGATGGCATTCCCCCGGCGTTGGACGAGAAAGGCTCACGGGTACCTAAGAAATCCGGCACGTTCTTCGTCTCCAGTGGATTCGACAAAAATGTCAAGATCTTCTCTGCAGACGATTGGACGCTGGTGCAAACTCTGAGCGGGCATACTGGGCCTGTCTCCAGTGTGGACTATAGCAGGGATGGCAAATGGATCATCAGTGGCGGCCATGACAGGACTGTCAAGCTTTGGGGCCGAAATGATGGTGAAGGGATCTGATGTAATTGGCATATAGACAAAAGTAAGGATACAGTAAATCCACTTATGATACCCAACGGAAAACAATGCAATTTTTCCTCAATGAATGAGCGCGTATTAGACTTGTAGCATGGGCTGCGCTTTGTCGCGAGCCTTGGCAGCCCGACATGACGGAACGGACCCAGTGCGCGGTCAGGTGACTCGGTTTGCTGCATCTCCCAACCCAAAGACAATAGCAGTCTCAGATCTCTTTCACCACTATCTTCTATTGTCCCAAACCTTCCTCCTGTCACTTTTTTTCCTCGCTTTCATTCGTTTACAAAACCACAGTAACCGGCCGATCAGGCGGTTTATTCCTCATGATCCGTCTCCAGTCCTTATCTCTCACAGGCGTCAATCCGACACGAATCTGACCTCATGGCGAGCATCGATCGATACCGCCCGCAGCGAGAGGGCTATCAACCTCCAACCCTCGCACAGAACCCGCGTCAGGATAAATCGTCGCGATCTCCAACGAGACGGCGCGATGTTCCCCCAGCGGTCCCAACACCTCCCCAGCACAGCACTCGCACGTCGCCACCACGCCTCCAGGCTCGACCAAGCCAGCAGCAATCGCCCAACCGACCGGGCGCGCGCACACCGCTGGCAGTCGCAAACCAGTGGGCGTTCACGGAGGAGGAGACTTCGAGCACACCCAGCATCATCGAGGGGTTAGCGCCTTCTGAAGAGAGATTGCGACGGGCCAAGGGCGTCAACTTCATCTATCAGGCTGGAGTGATGCTCGATCTCCCTCAGATCACTCTTTGGGTAGCTGGAGTGTTTTTCCACCGATTCTACATGCGCTGCAGTATGGTACAGGAAAAAGGCGGGATTCATCACTATGTGAGTTTGACATCTACCGTCGTAGGAGGCTCGTTGGGAACGGCAAAGGCCCCATCCGCACGGAAGAGTTGTTGCTAATACTTTGCCTTCCAGAATATCGCCGCTACCGCCCTCTTCCTAGCCAACAAGGTCGAAGAGAATTGCAAGAAGACGAAGGACATCATCATTGCCGTCGCCAAGGTCGCTCAGAAGAACGCCAAGCTCATTATCGATGAGCAGAGCAAGGAGTACTGGCGATGGAGAGACAGCATTCTCACGTACGAAGAGGCCATGCTTGAGCAACTCACATTCGACCTCATGATTGATAACCCCTACCGAAACCTTCTTGACCTTCTTGGCCAGCTCGACTGTGTTCATAACAAGCATCTGCGACAGGCCGCCTGGGCTTTCTGTAACGATGCATGCCTGACGGCCCTCCCCCTTCTATTCGAGGCAAGGGACGTTGCCATCACGGCGATTTTCTTCGCCAGCGTTCACACCAACCAGCAGCTAGACGATGTCAAGGGCGAACCATGGTGGAAGTACGTGAGGGGTGACGAGACACGATGCATCAGGGCCATTGAGATTATGCGACAGTTCTACACTGAGAATCCGCTTAGGAAGCAGAATCCGTCATTACCGTCGCCAGCATTTGAGCTGGATATCTCTCGACGCCGAGGAGATGCTTCAATCACCGACTCGTACCCTTCGAATGCCGCTACGCCTATGGAACTGGACAGAGCTAGTCGCAGTCCCGTTCCAAGGACAAACGGCGGTGGTGAAAGCCACAACGGAGCATCTCAGGCAAGGTCGGAAGATAACAGATACATTCCTCGTTCCCCATACAAACGGAAGGAGGCTGAGATTGATGCCAACGACGATAGAGCTGAGAAGCGAGCAAGACTATCCGAGGACGAAGAAGGTGAACTGGTGGAAGACTGAATGTGATTTGTTTTTTTCAAAGATGGTTCGGTATTGAGAGAATCTTTGGCGTTTTAGGCTTCTCGCAAGGCAAATGTTTTCAGGCAGAGATGTACGGACAGCGAGAGGATAAAGGACAGGCTCATGGAAAGAGAGCGGCGCACCGGTTGTATTTTAGGGAGTGATATCCTCTGGACGCAAGATTGAACCGTGATTTACTTGCCCATTGCCGGCATTTCTAGAAGGATAGAGCTCTCGAAGGCCCTCAACTTTCTCAGAGCCGAATAGACAAAGTCATCATGCACCCATCTCGAATGTCACATCTAATTGAGATTATTTCTTACCAAGACCCCCTCTATTCAAGCGTCGAACTGGCTACCTTGTCTACATACTGATCTGTCCATTATTGAATGCCTAACCACAAGCTGCCTGATTCTACCTCCCACCCTTCCTCAAGCACCCGTGCGTAGTGTTCTCACCTCGATATGGATAGATACCTATTCAGACAAATGGGTGGCATGGGAAATGTTACACCCAAGCACCGTTCTGGATCCAGTTCTCGAGAACCTAACACTTTGCTGCCTTGATTTCCACCTTCAATAAGAGAACTAAATTGGATCATCGATCGACATTTGTAACATTGTGATTGGCCATCACTAATCTACCAGAAATTCTATGGCGTCCGGGATCACGGCAGGTTAGTTACCGCCATAGAATTCCGTAGATTAGTGATAGCCAATGACGATGTTACAAATGTCGATCGAAGAACCAATTTTTTGTTTCACACAAGGACCGGGCCCTGGCTGCTGGGGATGATTACGTTGGAGGCATCCATTATCGCTGTGAGAGGTGGTTGGCGATAATGAGCTCGGAGAGGTGTTGTGGTTGATTTCGTGTAAAATCAAAGGTAAGAAAATAGAGTTGAAGGTTGCACTGGGTATGGAATGGAAATTGATTAAAAATGAAAAGTGTGATTCAAGTCACGTGTGGCCTGATGATCTTGGGATATGCCCCTTGCATACCTTAGGTATGGCAAAAACCCCCCAAAGAAAGCATTTTCATTTTATCATTTTTCTTGTATTTGGTCTCGATTTATTATGAAGCTGAACAGGCTAGTGTTTTGGTGCCTCGTTTCTCATGTCGCCCACTAAGTAAGAGGTAGCCAGGCACCAGCTGCCTCGTGCAACGCTGAATTCTGATTGGCCAAAATTCTGCCGCTGATCTTGGGCCCTCACCGCCCCCAGGCACACTATTTAAACGCGCCGAGCCCGCCGACTTTTTTGAACTTTTTCTTCCTTTCTTCTTTAGCTCTCTTTGCCTTTTGGCTTAGATCAAGTGTAGTATCTGTTCTTTTCAGTTTAATCTCTGAAAGGCCTCCAAGGAGGCCGATCTTGATTATTCCTATTTTTGGCCTCAGGGCTGTTTCCTCTGTGCTTGCACACGATTCAACCCACAGTGTCCCTGGTATTACACTGCCTCCAGGCGATGCGAACACTTCCTCTTTTTTCATTGCTTTGTCGGCTTGCCGGCAGTGTGAAGAAGAAAATACAGATGAATGGGCTTGTCCACTGAAAAAAAAAAAAAAGCCGTCTGAAATGCCCAGTGAGACGCATGGAGGAGCAGAAGCTGTGGGCGTGAAGCTTAAGCAGAAATCGTGAAGCCAGAAACTGTTGTCGTGACACGCCGCCACCATTATATCCTTTTTCTTTTTTTCTTTTCAGATAGTCCATACGTAGGAAAATAAGCTTGATATCCGTAACTGGAAAAGATATTTTCCATAGGATTGCTCATCGTGTTCTTACTTTCCCTTGGATGTCATACTTCGTGATTCTACCCAACCTACCTACCCTAAGTCGGCTTCTGGTGATTGCTCGAAATTTGCATCGAAGAGGAAGAAGCCTCGATGGCGAATCAATGCTGTAGTGAAATGGGCTCTGCCTCTTGATCTTCGATCTAACGATGTCTATCTCGTTGTGTATGTGTAATTTGTTCAAGCTCTGTTGGTGCTATTTCACATCGATACTGCCTTTTTCCGCATGGCTTTTGGCAGGTGGTTTTCCCGACCTGCCAGCTACCCCACCATCTGCTCCATTCTGGAGAGCTAGGTAGACCGACCCTCAATAACTTTCTTCCTTTTCGCCCAACTCCAGACCAAATAACGAATACAATCCCATCGCCAATCGTTCAGAACAAGACGGTGTCGTCGATGCCGACCGCTTCAACATAACAGGTCACTATGGCGACACTAGGCGGCTATCTCGAGAGTAAGCAATCCCCCAAGCTAGTTCCAGAGATGGCAGAGACACTGACCCCCCATCGTTCACCTCCAGAAAAGGTCCTCGTCGTAACGGCCGACTCTCGAATCCTCGTTGGAACGCTCTCTGCGGCCGACCAATCCACAAACCTTGTACGCTTGGGACCTATTATGCCGTCTTCTCCTCGAACCGAAGCTGACCAAACCTACCTGCCTATAGGTCCTGAGCAATGCGACGGAACGCATTATCCGCGAGCCCGACGATGACGAGCCGTCAACCGAGATCCCACTGGGACTTTACCTTGTCCGAGGAGACAACGTCTGCTCTGTGGGACTGGTGGATGAGAAGTTGGATGAGAGCATCAACTGGACACAGGTGAAGGGTTCAGTGATCGGAGGCATCAAGCACGTATAGAGGCGGGGAATGTCACAAGAAGACAAGAGATGGGCGGTCCATGTTTTTTTTTCCGACAAAAGAATACTGTTACTTGATCGAGAAGAACGGCGTTTGGAGTATTCGGAGCAATTATCTACTGAAATGCATGCAGCTTGTGGTATGATCTATTCACACTGGGAGAAGAAAGAAATCTCGAATGCATAACTATTCTATATAGACCAACCAGTGAGCCTCCATCGCCCCCCAGAACCGTGATGAACCGTAGATTATGATCCCAACCTGCGTGTGAACAGAGCCTAAGAAAATATCCTCCTCATCAGCTCCTCCTTGAGCACGGCCTCACCTGGGGTGCCCGTGATCCGGCGGATTCTGTTACCCTTATCCGCGTTGAACCAGGCGAGAGTGTCGCCGGGGCGGTCTGCTACCATTTCCAAGGACTTGGCGTTTTCTACCTTTTCGTAAAACTCGACCGCCTTCTCGCGAGGCGTGGCCCATGGTCGGCGGTCAATAACGTGCATGCCGCGGGTCCACTGGCCCGAGGTTTCGATCCGAATGTCCTCAAGCTGATCCGCAAACTTCCAGCTAGGATCGTTGTGCGCAATGGCGTACCAGACGGTGAAGGGATCGTGCAGAGACAGCTCCGCGTCGTGATCGGCACCTACCATGGACTCGATCTTTCGGAATGCCCCTCGAACAAAGTGTGCTGTCCACGTGGCGAGAGGACTGCCGGCATCAATGTGTGGTTGGATGATTTCCTCAAAATACTTCTTGTTGAGGTAATGAGGGGTCGTGATGTCAAGAGGGCAGAGGGTCAGTTTCAGGCGCTTGCTGAGATTTGGTGGATAGGCGGAGAGAACAGAGATGCTCTCTGGAATAACCGGCATGGTTGACTGGGGATTTGGGGAGGTAAGGGCGTAAACCCGGGCAGCTGCAATGGCATCAGCGTAGCAGTTGAATTCTGCATTCGGAGTCACGTTGCCTTCAACGTGGACGGCTCCTCCCATGACAACCAGCTCTCTCGCTCTGAGAAACGTCTCGGGGTCGTCGGCGGCGGCCAGAGCAACGTTGGTAAGCGGCCCGGTGGCGAGGATGGAAATGGTGTTTTCCGGGTTTTCCCTAAGAAGGCGGAGGATCTCCTTATGAGCCGGAGACTTGGATGGCGTGAAGTAAGGGGAATAAGTGTCAGTGCTGTTACTTTCAAACATGGACTTCCAAGTCTCGGCGGGAGCCAGATGAGGGTGTGCTGTGTGCACGTTGTGAAGCCCGTCAAGTCCATCTTGTAATAGTCTGGTTAGTTCTGATGATAGTTCTGGGCCACACAGTAGAAAGCCATTTATGAGTACTCACGGAAGTAATCAGCCATTAACTCCTCCTCCTCCAGGGGATGCTCTGGGCCAACGGCAACAATAGGCTTCTGGGCTCTCAGAACACCGAAACCCTCAGGCCTACCAGAGGCTTTCCTCCATTCAAGTTCTTTCTCCAGAACATTGAAGAGAGCAACGACGTTGTGCAGGCAACTGGACAGATGTTAGATCGATTGTACATTGGATGAATCGGCGGGGGTAGCAGCCGAACCTTTGAAGTGGGACATTCCCATATGTAACGGATAGCATTAGAACTTCCAGTTCCTCGGGAGATGCGCTCAGCGCGAGAAGCATAGCCAGGACATCGTCGACACCTTCAAGTAGTCAGTTGGATGTCAAGCATGTGACACATAAAGCATCACGAGTTGGCTATATCGCACCTGGGTCGGTATCGATGATGATCTTGTGTTTGGGAGCAGCCATGATGGATATTGAGAGTCAATATCTGGTACAAGCAAAAGAAGGGGAGAATTTGATTCCTGAATGATTCTTCACGAAAGCCGCACAGCTTAAATTTGATTTCCAACTATCTCTTTGGCACTCTGAGGACTCTTGGCTGAAGCGCATGTGCTCTGTGCCCCGCCTCAGCAGGTGGGGTGGCTGTATTTTGCCAGATAAGCCCTTACGCGTGATAGGTATCTGCGAGTAAGTAGACGAAGGATCAACCAACCCCGCTGGTAGTTAGGCTTTTTCACTCGTAGGCAATGGAATCTACCTGTTTGGATTTGTCCTGCCTCATCAAGAGTGCTGGATCAACAGCAGAGGGCTACTCCTACCTTTTACTGCTGTAGCGCACATGGAAGCTCGACGGGTGAGATGGCTGTTTTGAAGTCTATCATAGGGTTTGTCTAGCGAATGTCAAATGTGAAAGCTCACAATATCCTCGAACGAGTGATAAACATCTTGGTTGATCACCTGGTCTCTCTCACATGTCAATTATGAGACATAGTGCAAAGCATTGATTGTCTGGAGCAGCTGTGCTCCCCAAGTTCGAGGGCAGTAGTTACAGGTTATCAATTCGAGTTGACGCGCGCGGATTGATACTAAGTTGCTTGGTCGATTGGTATGAGAGGTGGTAGCAGTTGTCATCAACAATGCATCTAGTAGGCACTCAGATACTCGTGCAAGATACCTTAGACTTCCGTCGATGGCTGGGTGACGACAGTACAGTAAGTTGTACTGCGTATTGCGGATCCTTCCCAGGTATAAGCCGAGCTCTGGGGAAGGAGCAATAACGCTCCGGCAATCAGATAAAGGAGACGTTCGATTGGTAACCAATAACAACCAGGGTCTTGGGAGCTTGTAATGTCCGAGAGCAGGCCCGGTATAGAGCACTGTGAACGAGCCAATCGACGATAGCCGCGTGTGGTGTTCTTTGAAGAATGCAATGTCTTACTTTGCAACGGATGTTTGACTCTTGTCCCTTCACCTGGCTCCCGTTACCCCGTTTCCATGTTTTCTCCCTGCCTGCCTGCAAGTGCTCGTATTCTTGAACCTAGTAAGCCTTTGAAAGCGTATTACGCGTAAATCAAGAGAATACGAGGTATCTACGCTCTTCTAGAGAGCAGACATTTCGAAATAACGAGGCGTGGTGACCCTCCTTGGGCCACGTCACTTTGATGTATTCCAATCTACGGAACTGGCGGTGATGCTGTCTGCCAGAGCAGGAAGCACCTTCCTCGAGTCACTTTCAAGGGACATGGGACGGGCGGCTCCCAGGCACCAAATACAGTGCTGGCAGTGGGTCAGAGCACTGTAGTATTGGTCCACTGGCAGCCCAGACTGAACCACGCGAAGACTCGAGCTAGGCCAAATACTGCAGCGCGACGTGCTCGCCCCGTTCGGCTTCTCTCCTCTCCATCCGATCATCTGCAGCTAAACTGGATGGCACCATTAACCTTCCCATCAGACCTGCACTAAATACTAATGCTACCTTAGCACTTGGTTCACTTTGAGCCACCTGGTCAAAACCAAACTTCTCGAGCCCTCGTCGCACGCACTTTTCCTCCATCCACCAGCCTGAGTCGGTCCCTTATCCCTTTCATCCATCCTGCCCTTGGAAAAACTGCACCGTTGCCCATCTCCCCTGTCTCTCCTGCGCCAAGGAGCATCAGACGGACCCCTTCTTTTCCGAACTCGCCCTTTAGTGGAACTTCCTCGCGCTCCCCATATTCTCCACACGGTATTTCGAGGCTGCAGAAGCCAACCTGGCCTCATGAGACGCGCCCCAACCTACTAGTTGACGAGGTTGTGATTTCTAAACAATCTTTCTGCTCCGGAACTCTACCCATCTCCTTCGTCTACCCCAATCCATAATCACTCGGCTTTTCTCTCTCCCACGTTATACCCTCACCTTCGCTCATAGGCAGCTTCTCAACTCCTACCCCTATCCACCCAGGTAGCTAAGCTCCTGCTACGTCCTTGACGGCCGAATAATCTACAGAACGGGAAGCAGAAGAGGGAGTGGTTTCTTTATAGTCGAAGCACGGTTTTCGTGGAATTGGCGATCAGTTCAGAATGGCAGACTACCTGTACACTGTTGGCGGCTATCTCGCCCTGGCTGGTGTCGGCTATGTTATCTATCAGGTTTCTACCCAGAAGTCTCGAAGACGGGCAAGCACAGTTCAATCGAAAGCCTCGAGGGGCCCACAATCTGAGCCCAGAAAGGAAGATAGGAAGAAGAAGCAACGAATGGAAAGCTTCACGACCGAGTCCCAGGAGGCAAACAAGGCAGCTGCCTCCAAGCCCAAGTCCGCCGAAACCTCAACATTTCTGAGCAATGATCCAAGCAAGGATACCTCAAACGATGACGCCGCCAACCGCGAGTTTGCCAAGCAGCTCTCCAAGGCCAAGGAGGGCACAAAGTTCAATACCAAGACTGACTCTGGAAAGCAGAAGGAGAAGTCGGTCAAGCAGTCACGTGCCAACAAGATTTCACCTCCCGCTCAGGAGGTCAAGCCTGTCGCATCTGCCCCGTCATCGACCACGGTCGATACCGCTGGGGCCGTGGTTGATGATGAATCATCCTCCAACGACCTCGGTGAGACTGCCGCTGCCGACTCTACCGGTGTTGCGGATATGTTGGAGCCCGCTCCTGCTGCTCCCTCAGTCCTCCGACTGACCGACACCACCGAAAAGGAGAAGAAGAAGAAGGCCGCGAAGGCACCCGAGCCCACCGAGACGAAGAAACAGCGACAGAACCGCAAGAAGGCCGAGGCTGCCAAGGCTCTCCGTGAGGAGGCTGAGAAAGAGCGTAAGGTTCTTGAGGAGAAGCAGCGACGTACCGCTCGCCTCGCTGAGGGACGTGCTGCTAAGGATGGCTCCAAGTTCCTTGCCTCTGCCAACGCCAACTCAGCTTGGGACAAGGGTGCTCCCAATGGCCAGACCAACGGTCAGTCCAACAAAACTGCCTCCACCAACGGATCTATTCAGCTCCTCGATACCATGGATGCCCCAGCAGCCTCAAAGCCTGCCAACGTCAAGTCGGAATCCTCTTGGATGTCATCCCTCCCCTCCGAGGAAGAACAGCTTGAGATGCTCAAGGACGAGTCTGACGAGTGGAGCACTGTGAAGACCAAGGCTTCTAAGCGCTCAGGCAAGAAGGAATCTTCAAACGATTCTGTTGATGAGCCCGCCCAAATCCGCCCGGCTGCC